CACCCTTACTAACTACTGAATATACATAAACTATCTAAACGGGCCTCCAACCTCCCCTTCTAGCCGTCCATACCACCCTTACTAACTACTGAATATACATAAACTGTCTAATTAACAGCCTTCAACCAGTCCCTTCTAGCCGTCCATACCACCCTTACTACCTATTGAATATACATAAATCTAAACGGCCTCCAACCTCCCCTTCTAGCCGTCCATACCAACCCTTACTAACTACTGAATATACATAAACTGTCTAAACGGCCTCCAACCTCCCCTTCTAGCCGTCCATACCACTCTTACTAACTACTGAATATACATTAACTATCTAAACGGCCCTCAAACCTCCCCTTCGCTAGCCATCCATACCCCCCTTACTTCCTACATTGAATATACATAAACTATCTAAACGGCCTCCAACCTCCCCTTCTAGCCGTCCATACCACCCTTACTAACTACTGAATATACATAAACTCATATCTAAACGGCCTCCAACCTCCCCTTCTAAAGCCGTACCATACCCTTACTAACTATTGAATATACATAAACTATCTAAACGCCTCCAACTTCCACTTCTAGCCGTCCATACCACCCTTACTTAACTTACTGAAATACATACATAAACTGTCTAATCAACAGCCTTCAACGGCCTCCCCCCTTCTAGCCGTCCATACCACCCTTACTACCTATTGAATATATATAAACTGTCTAATAACCACCCCTTACGGCCTCCAACCTCCCCTTCTAGCCGTCCATACCACCCTACTAACTATTGAATATATATAAACTGTCTAAACAGCCTCAAACCTCCCCTTCTAGCCATCCATTACCAACCCTTACTACCTATTGAATATACATAAACTATCTAAACGGCCTCCAACCTCCCCTTCTAGCCGTGCCATACCACCCTTACTAACTACTGAAATAATACAAACTATCTAAACGGCCTCCAACCTCCCCTTCTAGCCGTCCATACCACCTTACTTCCTATCTGAATATACATAAACTATCTAAACGGCCTTCCAACTTCCACTTCTAGCCGTCCAACCAACCCTTACTAACTACTGAATATACATATGATAAACTGTCTAATTACGGCCTTCAACACTCCCCTTCTAGCCGTCCATACCACCCACTAACCTTACTACCTATTGAATATATAAACTGTCTAATTACGGCCTCAACCTCCCCTTCTAGCCGTCCATACCACCCTTACTACCTATTGAATATATATAAACTATCTAAACGGCCCTCCAACCTCCCCTTCTTAGCCTTCCATACTACCCTTACACTATTGAATATACATAAACTGTCTAATTAACGGCCTCCAACTTCCCCTTCTAGCCGTCCATTACCACCCTAAAAATTAACTACCCTATTGAAATATACATAAACTATAGTAAACAGCCTCCAACCGTCACCTTCTAGCCGTCCATAACCACCCTTACTACCTATTGAATATACATAACTATCTAAACGGCCTCCAACCTCCCCTTCTAGCTGTACATACCACCATTACTACCCTATTGAATATAGTATTAAACTATCTAAATGGCCTCCAACCTCCCCTTCTAGCCGTCCATACCACCCTTACTGACTATTGAATATACATAAACTATCTAAACGCGCCACCAAAACTTCCCCTTCTAGCTGTACATACCACCTCTTACTACCATTGAATATATATAAACTTATCTAAACGAGCCTCCAACCTTTCCCCTTCTCAGCCGTCCACACCACCCTTACGACTATTGACATGGTTTCCCTTGCCAGAGCGCTTTTTGCCGTTTTTTGGCGCACTAAGTTTTCAGCCATAACGGCAAATGAAATTTTAGTTAGTGCGTAACTTTTGTGACGCAAGAATTTCAAAACCGCGGATTTCAACACAAGTCCAATATACAGAACTATAAAACCGTCAAGTAATTAAAAAATGTAACGGAAAATGTTTTACCGTGGGTTCCACTATAATTTTTTTAAATGAGAAAATGGAAATGTTACCCGGTCCGTGGTCCGCGCCATTTGCCAATTTTCAACTAGTCTTAATTTAAACGCTTGCATTTATACGTTAACTGGCATATATTTGAAAGCCGCCCAGACAAAATGATTTATTTTGTTGTCGTCATATTCTACGAACGAAAACTGTCTGCTGGAAAATGCAGTCGCGTATATGGAAGTGTTCATCTGTGCTGTCTACAGAAATTAAAACTTCGAAGGGAGCGATAGCGACAGGAGAATGTTTCTAATTTCTGTAAAACACTAAGGATGAAACACTAAACATATTTAGTGTCAAGCTTTTATTTGGCCCTTGATTACGTCACTGAGGCGGTACTATGAAGCATATGAAAAAAAGAAGGCGACTATGAACAAATTTCAATATTAGTATCGACTTTCTTTTCTTCTATTGAAAATTAACACACTAGTAATTTTTAAGGAAATACAGCGTTATTAGTTGGATTGACAAATAATCCAAAATAGCAGAGATTGACCAATTCTTCACGAAAAAATATACAAAATATTGGTAAAAAAAAACTTATAAAGTGTTACCTTTTTTTTTTTTTTACATTTTTTGTTAAATTTATTGCCATGACCCCTTATGAAATTCTGAAATGACCCCTAAAATATCATACAGGGGGTCATAAAAGACCTCAGAAAAATCAGAGCTGGCAGAAACACTGTATTGAATATACATAAACTATCTAAACGGCCACCAACCTCCCCTTCTAGCCGTCCATACCACCCTTACTTTCTACTGAATATACATAAAACTATCTAAACGGCCTCCAAACTCCCCTTCTAGCCCGTCCATACCACCCTAACTTATTACTGTCTGAATATACATAAACTATCTAAACGGCCACCAACTTCCCCTTCTAGCCGTCCAACCACCCTTACTAACTATTGAATATACATAAACTATCTAAACGGGCCTCCCAACCTCCCCTCTAAGCCGTCCATAGGGGATACCCCTTACTACCTATTGAAATAATAAAAACTATCTAACGGCCCTCCCAACCTCCCCTTCTAGCCGTCCATACCACCCTTACTACCCTATTGAATATACATAAACCTGTCTAATTACGGCCTCCAACCTCCCTTCTAGCCGCCATACTACCCTTACTTACCTATTGAAATATACATAAACTGGGTCTAATTATGGCCTCCAACCTCCCCTTCTAGCCGTTCCATACCACCCTTACTACCTATTGAATATACATAAACTATCTAAACGGCCTTCAACCTCCCCTTCTAGCCGTCCATACCACCCTTACTACCTATTGAATATACATAAACTATCTAAACGGCCTCCAACCTCCCCTTCTAGCCGTTCTAACCACCCTTACTAACTATTGAATATACATAAACTATCTAAACGGCCACCAACTTTCCCCTTCTAGCCGTTCTTACCACCCTTACTAACTATTGAATATACATAAACTATCTAAACAGGGGCCACCAACCTCCCCTTCTAGCCGTCCATACCACCCTTACTAACTACTGAATATACATAAACTATCTAAACGGCCTCCAACCTCCCCTTCTAGCCGTCCATACCACCCTTACTAACTACTGAATATACATAAACTATCTAAACAGCCTCCAACCTCCCCTTCTAGCCGTCCATACCACCCTTAGTACCTCTTCCATATACATAAACTATCTAAACAGCCTCCAACCTCCCCTTCTAGCCGTCCATACCACCCTTACTAACTACTGAATATACATAAACTATCTAAACGGCCTCCAACCTCCCCTTCTAGCCGTCCATACCACCCTTAGTACTACTAATAAGATTCTAAACTTAACCTAATTCTACTCTCTTTTTTTTGGAATTTTTGTAAATTTTGTTCTTTTTTTATTTTGTTTTTTGTTAATATTTTTATCTTTTTTTTCTTTTTTTGTCATTTTTGGCTATCTACCTAATAAATGCTGTAGCAAACCACAATAATTATCTATGAACCAAAATTTGGAGACAAACTCTGATACCAAAATGATAAAATATTTTTTTAAAGAGTAAATTTAAATTGGAAAAATATCTGTAAAATTTTGGAATGATAAAATATTTTGATAAAAAATTACTAAGAAGTAAACCACTAAATTATTCTTGATTATATTAGGTATCATCAACTAACATGAAATACTGAAAATCTAAAAAAAAACGAACAAAAAAAAAACCACATGTATTTAATTTATTATATTTTAACAAGTAAAGGGATTTAACTCTTAGAAAAATAAAAGAACAGTTTACTATTATAGCTTTTGAAATCTAAAACTAAAAAATTCATAGCAAATTATTTGAAAGGCAATGAAATGAAACACACACAAGTGGAAAATTGTGTTAAAATAGTAAATTTTTAAACGCAAAAAGTCAATACAAATCAATTATCATTAAAATATGTAAATAATATAGCCACTAAGCTAAACTAATTTCTATTGAATAAACACTTTATGAATCTTACTGCTCAAAAAATCAAAATTTCAATTATGTAATGATTACTTAATATTTAGTTTGGAAAAAAAAAGATACAATACATTTAAAAATAGTCAGTACCAATCTCTTTACAGACTTTATTTCACTGTGATAATGAATGTAAAAAAGTGTGACAGTGAAAACAGTAAATAACAAAACTAAACAAAACACTGTAAAAATCCCTAAAAAAATGTTAATGATAAAAAAAAAGATCATTAATTCAGTATTATATCAGTTAAAGGTTACCTAGCTTCAACTATGATGTTCAAATATTAAAACAAATTTAACATTGGAATAGAATTTGACCATTTCTATAGTGAAAAATTGGTTAACAAGCACACAAACTGCCCACTTATTTGCCTCCCAAAATATGCACTTGATACTAATGACTGAAATGAAAAAAAAATGAAATTGCTATAATTTATGTCTCCTAATTATTTTGACAACACCATTTGATAAAAACTCATAAAAAAAACTAACTACCCTACACCCCCTACAGCATTACTACACTACAATAACTAACTAGTAAAAATACCTCCGAAAGTTGGGATGACTTGGGTTGACGTGGATGGCGGGCCGTTTTGCAGCAGGGTACCAATCTGTATCATCGTCCCTACCACGCTTGCGGCTCACTGAAATATATAGTAACTCATTTTTATTTCAAATAAATGTAAGCTATTAGATTGACAGAAGTTAAAATATGGCATAAGAATTTTAATTATATAAATGTATTTGTTTCTTTTTGTTAGAAAAAGTCTATTTCATGTACCTGAAAAAAAATTGAAATAAAGTAGATACAAAATGTAATTATAAAGATTGCAAAATACAAAGTAAACATAGCATAAATCAGAGGAAAAACTCTGACTAAATTATGTTTTCAGAACATGCAATGAGCCATTTGTCTCAAATATGAACAATTTGTATGGAAATGTTGACAATTTCTCCATCTGACACTGGTGAAGTTCTGAAAAAAACATAAACAGGCATAATAATATAATTGAGATGAGCACCTTTCTTACTGCTGTCCTTGGTATTTTTAGACAGCAGGAGACTGAAGTCAAAATGCTCTTCAGCCTCAAGACGCCATTCCTCCATCTGCCATATCATCTCATTTGTGAGGCTGGTAAAACATTATAATAGAAATGTTAAGTATAAATTTAAGTTTTACAAGAACAATAAAACAATCATGATTGTGACAACTGGTCCTTTTCTCTAAACTTTAGAAAAAAAAATCAATTTAAAACTTTTGATCTGGAAGCTCAAAATAATGTATGCATTGCTTTCTCTTTTTTTTTTCATATTCATATGTTTTTATTTGTAGAAAAAAATGAAGGAAAGGACCTATTGTCATACATAAAATTTCTTAAAGAAAATATCTGATTAAAACCAACTAAAAGAATGAAAGTGCTAATGTTAAATTGTTAATAGAATATTAGTAGAATAAAGTCCTGAGTGAAACCAAAACACATGTAACACTTATTATTTTTTATTCAAAGACATTGTATAAAGTGGTACTTACTGTGTACCAAACAGCTCTGGAAATTCAGGTTCATTGAGCTGATTAAGTAGAGGGACTTCTATGTCAGGCAAAAGAGGCACTTCCTCTCTTGCAGGTGTTGATGTCCGTACTATCTTGATGGCCGAAGAACTAGTACCACTACCACTAGGCCTATTATCCCTAGACCGATGGGGACTAGGGGTCCTAGGCCTTTTGGAATGGCACTTGTCCCTGGCACATCTAGATCTGGACCTTGAACGCCTAGATCTAGACCTAGATCTAGAACGTCTTCTTTGTCTAAAAATATAAAAAAATAATAATAAACAATTATGAACAAAAAGTAGCATTTATTTAAAATTTATTAAAATGATATTGAAATGTATAACACATGTCCCCAAATTTTGAAACTTTAAAGCAGCATGCCTCCAGATTCATGCCAGTTTTTATTAAAATTTTGAAAATGTATTTAGAAGTATAATGTTGTGTAGTGAACAAAGAAAGTAACTAACCTAAAATTCTAACTAAATGCTGCTGCACTAACCTTTGGGAAAGGTCAATGGCTTCATTTGGGAGGTAATGGAGGGGTAAATTGTGTGGTATTTTGAAAAATTAAAAAAAAGTTTAAAAACAACTTTTACATTGTATTCATTTGTACTGTAGATATCCCCATTTCATAAAATATTTGAAAACTTTTATTTTTTGAAGCAAAGTTTGACTTCTCGTTTCTAGATATACTAGCTACAGTTTTTAACTTAAATATTCAAAGTCTATGTAAGATTTTTATGTTACTTAATACTCAATTATGTCAGCATAAAATAGCTAAAAAGTGTTAATTTTGGCTGTGTCGTAAAAAAATAATTTCATTTTCAATTCTTATTAATTTCTGAAGCAGATCAAATTGATATTCAAATTGAGGAAGACAATGCTTATTGTAAATAGGAATTTTAGAATAAACGCCAGTTAAATGCAATGATATAATTACAAACATTCAACTCAAAAGTTGTCATCATATCTGGTAAAAAAACAACTTAAAGTCAAAAGTAATAGATCTAAACAGGCAACCCATGATGCATCGTATTTCTCCTATTATTGAGACAGAAATTTCAGTTTTTCTTACGAGAATCTAACAAAAAATACGACTTTGGGATCCAGACTTTGTAACAAATAGTCTTAACTTTATTAATGTCACGCAAAAACTGCTATTTAATTGAAAATAATGTATTATACATACGAAATTGAATTGTTTTGGCGGCCATTACTCGTTACTAGGGAGTGGATTCTGCGCATAGGACCTATTGTCTTTTAACCAATCAAAACATAGCTTTCACGTACAATAGCTGATGTAAAGTAAATAGTCCCTCTAAAATGGGCTAAGAACTCTTACATGCAGCATACCAACGTGTTATAAAAATATAAATAATACTCATGATATACAAATCTTTAGATAAATTACTATATCCAATCCTTAATATTGAAGATTATTTGATATAATTATCCGGGAATCCCCTTATCTATATATAGCAACAGTCGGTTGCTATGCAAAACGAAAGTGAAAATGATTCTGACCATCTACACTTTTATTTAAAATATGTTTCTTTCATAATATGGGGATAAAATATTTTGTTTGGCCGAATGAAATGTTAAAGTGTGAGTTATTTATCTAACCTGTTTAATGACACAGGGATAGAATTTTGCAATAATTTCTACTTGCAAATTTTTGCAAGTGATCAAATGATTAACTGGCAATATGAGGTAGTCAACTGGCATTTCCATTATCATGTATCTTATTATTATAATACACAATGACAATGTATTTTGAATATATTATGGTATGACAATTCTTAGGACCTTCATTATTTTAGCATATTTTGTACTTTCCGATTACACCAACAGCCTGAAAACTCAGAGGTACTGATCTACTTAAATAAATATTTCAGCTTATAAGTAAACACTTTACAGAGGAGTGCTACGCATTTACATTGGACCCTGATAAAACAACATGTGTTTGGCTGTTATAAATAGTCCATCAAAACATAGTCACAGAAAAAATAAAATTATTAAATAGAGCAACCAAAAATTGATTTTTAAGTTTTTAAGGTAAACTTCATCAATTACTGCATCTGGTACAGTAAACATCATCAGTTTCTGCAGCAGGCAGTTGCCAAGCATCATCATCAGCTCAGAAGATATCAATTATGTAAAAGTCCAAAATGAACAGTCACTTGCAAATAAATGCCAGCTAGAGTAATTTTTACTGGCATTATTAGATTTTAACTGGCATTTTGCCAGTATGCCAGCTTAAATTCGAACCCTGTGACATGGACTTCTCTCAAGGAATGTCAACAATCGACTTGTGAAAGTTTAGTTGGTATGGCGGCATTTTTTAAATTCAAAATAATTTTCTACACTAAAGAAATTTACACACTACGTGTAGGACAAGTGTGATAATATTATTAAGAGCTAAGGTTTGAAATGAGTTTAATTATTTTTCACGGACTAAGTCGTCAAACTAACCTTACCCCGCCCACTATCATTTAGCTGCAGCATAAAACTCATAACGAAAATGATTAAATTCATAGAATTTACCTTAAAATATCAAAAAAGAGATATACTATTTTAAAAATGTTATATTCATGCACCAATTTAAGCCTTTAATTTATCAAAACACTTACGAATAATATGAAGATTTTGCTTCTTTGTGAGAGCGCATTTTTTCCAGCTTGTCTCTACAGATTTATGTATGAATCTGAACGTGCCAGCCTAACAACAAGGCTCCTTATATATGGTATCTAGGGGGTAGCCCGACCAATCAGCGACAAGTATCCCGTTGACCAACCAGTAACAAGTATTCAAAATTTCGCGGGAGCCAAACTTGTGTTTTTTATTTGTTACAAAACCACTGTTTTGGAAGTAAATATGTATCGGAATGTAAAATATTTTTTTGAATGATAATACACTCAAGTTTAACTTCTAATGAAAAACGATTCTACCACCATGTTAACAGAATTTTAGATAAGCTGGACTATTATTTTGGAATTTAAACCAACAAAATTTGAATTTATGATTAAAATTCACTGTTTATTTTGTTTAAATCCTTTATCATGTGGTAATTCTGCCCTGATTTTACATACAATTGTTAACTTACGACGGCAATGCCAATATGCATGCCAACACAATGCAAAATTAATATTTTAATGGAAATAAATGGGCCAAGAGAAAGCACAGAAAATCGACAGTTTTTAACTGTTGCACGATGTTCACGAAAATGTCCCTTTATTGTGTTATAATGCCCAAAAGTCTCTAGAATTTATAATTTTACCGTAAACACATTTTGAATTATCATGATACATTGATTTGTGATAGACTTAGTTACCTTGATCATTAAGTCTGTTCTAAATAAATTTGATTCAAGATAGTAACGTTACTTGTAAGACGTTGGATAAGGATTCTTGATTTTTGCAACCTCATATAGATCTATATTGTAACCGCTCTGCTCCATTTTGTCGACAAACAATGTTTCGAAAAGAAAATAAGAGCCGACAGATTCCAAAATTATGACTTTTCAAAATGTGTCATTTTCAGACTAGTCTATAATACTGGAATAGAGTCTTGCAATCAAATTTTGAAAGACCCTCATGGTCACATACATCAATTTATCGTGCTAAATTATTTTGTTTCCTTTAAAAAAAATAATGTGTAGAATCTACATTAAATGTAGTTCAAATGTGTATATCTTCATGTGAAAAATTTCCATAAGAGCCTACCTGGAAAATAAGATACTACCTGGCAAATTGTTTAAAAAAGAGCACCACGAGATAGATATTGTCCAGGATAGACATTATTTGTGAAAAAGCAAAACATGAAATGTTTTAGTTAAAATTGTTCAGTTAAAAAATCCATAAATCCAATTCATCAAAATTCTGTACCGGGCTCCTATCACAGGAACTTGACATTTAATCAATACATCACAAAATATACGTATATTAGTGATACAGCCCTTATCTACGGAAGCATGGAGAGGACATAGTCGATTTATTTTAATAATCTGTGGGAACAACTTATTTGTCGAAGTATTTTTTATTAATCTGTGGGAACAACATGTTTTGTGAGAAAAATCTTTTTTTATTCTGTGGGAACAACATATTTTGTGAGAAAAATCTTTTTTTATTCTGTGGGAACAACATATTTTGTGAGAAAAATCTTTTTTTATTCTGTGGGAACAACTTAATTTGAGTAAAAAAAAAAATTATTCTGTGGGAACAACATATTTTGTGAGAAAAATCTTTTTTTATTCTGTGGGAACAACATATTTTGTGAGAAAAATCTTTTTTTATTCTGTGGGAACAACTTAATTTGAGTAAAAAAAAAATTTATTCTGTGGGAACAACTTATTTTGTGAGAAAAAATTATTTTTTTACTCTGTGGGAACAAACTATTTTCTGCGATATTTTTTCAATATCTTGTTCCCTCAAGATAATAAGTTGTGCGAACAAATTAATTATGTTGTTCCCACAACATAATTCAACCAATCAAAATAGCGATTGCCACAAAGAGTGACTGCAAAGTTAAGTCCCTTTTTAAAAAGTCGCCATTTGCACACAATTCATACTTCAAACCCATTTCAAAATACTGTTTAATTAAAACATTTCTATCCATTTTTCTGACAACAAGATGCATGAATTTGATTGGTTGAATTATGTTGTGGGAACAACATAATTAATTTGTTCGCACAACTTATTATCTTGAGGGAACAAGATATTGAAAAAAATATAGCAGAAAATAGTTTGTTCCCACAGAATAAAAAAAAAAATTCTCACAAAATAAGTTGTTCCCACAGATTAAAAAAAAGATTTTTCTCACAAAATATGTTGTTCCCACAGAATAAAAAAAGATTTTTCTCACAAAATATGTTGTTCCCACAGAATAAAAAAAGATTTTTCTCACAAAATATGTTGTTCCCACAGAATAAAAAAAGATTTTTCTCACAAAATATGTTGTTCCCACAGAATAAAAAAAGATTTTTCTCACAAAATATGTTGTTCCCACAGAATAAAAAAAGATTTTTCTCACAAAACATGTTGTTCCCACAGATTAATAAAAAATACTTCGACAAATAAGTTGTTCCCACAGATTATTAAAATAAATCGACTATGTCCTCTCCATGCTTCCGTACTTATCTCTATATATAGAGATAAGCCTTCATAAGGGCTTTATCACTAATAATAAGTTTAAAGTAGATCTATATTGCTATGAATGAATGTTATAAAATCATTGTATTTTTTAAACAAACCTTTCCAAAGATCATTGTAAACACTGTACATAATGCCCTTTTAGAATTTGGATCCATGTAAACAATTAAAATTTCAGTTTCAATTACAATATGCTATTAATTAATACATAAGCAATGATATAATTATATATGTGTCAATCTTTCCCCTTTTTATTAATGTTTGTAAAGAGATAAAAAGTCTTTAAAATTGGTTCGTACTATTACACTAAATGGTTCATTAATTACAGTCATAATTCAGCAATAAAAACTGCATGCACTAAAATCAATAATGATTAAAAACAAACAAATTATTCAGACTGTGATTTTATTTCATATAATGAAAAGATTGTGAGGTAACTGATGAAAAAAAATAACAACAACAAGTCCAAAGTGGACAGTAATATTGCTCATCTGAGTAAATAGAAAAGTAGAAAAAACATTCCCCATGACCAATAGTCAGGGCATGTGTCATAATTTTTATCACTTTGAGTTTCGCAGAGGAATTATTATACCAAATATATCATGTATGTGTCATTCAATGTAAAGATAAGATGACAATCTCAAATAGTTCTTACATAAATTAAAATATTATAACATAAAAGACAACAGGACAGAGCCATTTTCTGTAAACAGTGATATAATTTATATACCGTATTGCTATTGTACATGTGCTGTTTTTTTTTTTCTTAATCTAAAGAAAATTAGTTCGCTTCTCTCAAATAATATGCTATATAGCACACATTAAAATGATGATATCATATATGTCCAAAATTTTGGCTCAAGCTTTGTACTCGCTTCTCAATGTGATACAAAACATGTTCTTTCAAAACAAACAAATTTCATTTGTATGTAAATCTAATAAAGTACAAGTTGACAAACTAAAAATAACAGCCTATTCTTTACTTTAAGTAAACACAGACAAACACAAATTACATGACAAATAGAAAACTTAAACTGTCAATTTCAAATCATTTTATTTTCTGTTGTTTGACCAAGGATAAATAAATGTTGTATGATGGTTTTGTTACATTAAAAAAATAAGACAGGAATTATGTCCTGACCACATTCACGAAATATTTATGGAAGAGAAGTAAGGATTTCATATTTTATCTATAAATAATATATATATGAGCAATGCTAATCAGCAAAAAATACTGAATATAAATTATAAATAATACTGGATAACCAGGAACACATCTATCAAACTCAATATTATATATTTTGCAAATAAGAAAATGCATTATAATCTTGTACATTAATTTGAAAAGAACTTTCAATGGCAAAAACAAATATTGAGTGGGCAACAAAAAAATGTTTTAAACAATCTTGTTACTTAACAACAAATAAAGAATGTAACATTTTTTTCAAATGGATTTTGATTTAGAGCTAATGATAAAACATTATTCTAACATACCTTCAGAAAAACTTAATAAATTAAAAACAATGCTGACAAAATTCCCAACCATCAGGTCTAACCTAAAGACTTCAGACAAATTTAAAAAAAACCTTAGCCCTAAAAAGGAATATTTGATACGATAAAAGAGAAGACACTGATTATTCATTATGATCAGGGATATATACAAAAAATAATACAGTAAATTATATCATTTATGTATCACTGATGGAACATCTTTTATTTTTCTACAAAGGTATAAAAATGAAAGATTTTACAATATCATTTAAAAGTATCAAACAATAAAGGAAAAAAGAAAGTGAGCAAAATTATAATCACATCACAACAATGTACATGATCAAGAACATTAAAATATCCATCTATTACTTTGACATAAAGCACACACGATTTTGATCTTATCTCATACATACTAGTCCTGAATCTTATAGATAGGGCATCGGTGGGCTTTCTGATTTCCGCTGTGTATAGATCGGCCAAGTTTTTTTGATGTTCTTTCTCTTTTATATCATAGGCAAAAATAAAAACATGTCCCTGTCATCAAAATATGAAACCCCAGAAAAAAGTAACCAATGTACAAATATCTGAATATGGCTTTTCTACCGATACCCATTTCCCTGTCTTCACAATAAGTAAACCCCAGAATAATGGTAGCTAATGAACGAGCATGCTCTATTTGTATCTAACTAAAACTTGCACTCCAGTTAGCACACTGTGCTTGTATGGGTATACGATTTATCTGTTACACATTTTCAATAGAAAGGTCTCTAAACTATGATACAATGACCGATAACCAACTTGAACCCAAAGTGATTTGCCCTTGCAACCAGTATAAAGCCAGGGCAGCCTGTATATCCATACTGACTGACTAGACTCTAAAATGATGTTAGTTCAATTTTTGTGCTTTTGATACTGAAATACTTCAACTTTAAAATGGACTGTTCCAAATTGAAAGCAGGGCAAATGAATTACTCCTTTTCAAACGGGCTCTATATGCAGGTTGACCAATTTTAGTTAACATAATTTAATATGAAAAAAACTTTACCAAAACAATTTTGTGCATGAAAATTTCATAACAAATAAAACATACAGGTATTTTTCGTTACCCTGAATGAAAATAACTGCATATAAAATAATAGTAAAACTTAAATAAGATATTTCTTTCTGCATATCTAGATATACTTTACTTTTGACTTTTTATTTAATACATGTAATATTTTTCTAACTTTGCAAGATTTGGATTCTTACCCATACCCTAAGAATTCTGACCAGAAGCTCTATAAACGAAGCTAGCCAGTAGCTAACAAATCTTTTCTGTTATTTGTTACCAGTTCTATAATGTGACATAATGATCATCAATATATTTCATAAAAAAACTTATATTTGTTCATATTAAAGCCCCATTTTCTAAAAACTACTTGATACAGTCATATATATATTCCATTGATCAGTTTCATTTAAAGTTAAATAAAGTTTATTTCCAAAATTATTGATTTACAAAGTAAGATATTTGCATATCTGAACACTGACCTTCCAATGATAGGATGATAATCAGTTAATAAATAGCAGAACACAGTAATCATTAATTATAAACATGGCACTCTAAGTATTTTACATAATCTTATTTTCATATATAATTTAACTTTAAATAACTTAACAAGAGGGCCATGATGGCCCTGAAATCGCTCACCTGAAAATAAAAACTCTCAATGACAAGGAAAAAGTAATATTGTAAGCTCTGACTCTTTGGGGTTTTTTTTAAAGATTTTTTTACTTTACTATTTACATAAAAGGACAGTCAAAACCCCAGGGCTCTTTGTTGAAAAAAAACTTGGTAGACACTCACTTTCTTGCCAAATACCTAAGCTCTAGCTCTTTGTTGTTTTTTGGGGTTTTTTTAAGAAGATTTTTTAAAGTTTTTACTACATACATATAAGGAAAATCAATGACTACTGGTGCAGGAGCAATTTTGACCCCTGGGCTTTTATTTGAACAAACTTGGTAGACACTCACTAGAAGATGATTCATGCTAAATATCTAAGCTGTAGCTCTTCGGGTTTTGTAAAAGAAATTTTTAATGGTGACCACCAAAGGAACATTCCTGTGAAGTTTGAATGAAATTGGCTTTGCAATTTATGAGGAGAATCTAAAATGTTGTTTTAAGTAAAAGCGTACTGACAGACAGACGAATTGCGATCACAAAAGCTAACCTTGTCACTTTGTGACAGGTGAGCTAAAATACACCGTCCTTATTATGGATTGCATATCTTTGGTAACTAGAAATGTGTCCATAGGACACAGGTGCCCCCACCGCGCCACTGTTCTGTCAATCTTTTTACTAAGTCAAGGGAAATAACTCTACAAATACTGGATAAATCCACAAGCGAAACCCAAGGTGCAAATCTAAATATGCTGAGCAACCTGCCCATAAGGTTTAATTAATGACTATGTCAAATCCTTTTAGAGTAACATGCGACACAAGTTGAAAATTGCAAAAGTTTCTAAGTGAAGGGCAATAACTCTAAAAATACTAAATAAATCCAGACGAAAATATCTGATGCACAACTGCACATGCTGAACAACATTCCTGTAAAGTTTCATGACTCCAGGTCAAATACTTTTTGAGTTACATGCGACACAAGTTGAAAATTGCAAAATTTTACTAAGTCAAGGGCAATAACTCTGAAAATACTAAAAATATCCAGACCAAAATACCCAGGTGCACAACAACACATGCTGATCAACATTCCTGTAAAGTTTCATCACTCTAGGTCAAATACTTTTTGAGTTACATGCCACACAAGTTGAAAATTGCAAAATTTTACTAAGTCAAGGGCAATAACTCTACAAATACTGAAAATATCCACACGAAAATACCCAGGTGCACAACTACACATGCTGATCAACATTTCCTTAAAGTTTCATGACTCCAGGTCAAATACTTTTTGAGTAACATGCGACACAAGTTGAAAATTGCAAAATTTTACTAAGTCAAGGGCAATAACTCTGAAAATACTAAAAATATCCAGACGAAAATACCCAGGTGCACAACAACACATGCTGATCAAGATTCCTGTAAAGTTTCATGACTCTAGGTCAAATACTTTTTGAGTTACATGCGACACAAGTGGAAAATTGCAAAATTTTACTAAGTCAAGGGCAATAACTCTAAAAATACTAAAAATATCCAGACGAAAATACCCAGGTGCACAACTACACATGCTGATCAACATTCCTGTAAAGTTTCATGACTCTAGGTCAAATACTTTTTGAGTTACATGCGACACAAGTTGAAAATTGCAAAATTTTACTAAGTCAAGGGCAATAACTCTGAAAATACTAAAAATATCCAGACAAAAATACCCAGGTGCACAACAACACATGCTGATCAACATTCCTGTAAAGTTTCATGACTCTATGTCAATTACTTTTTAAGTTACGTGCGACACAAAAGTGAACAGACGGACGGACGGAAGGACGGACGGAAGGACGGACGGACAGACGGACGGACAAGGGTAAATCTAAATGCCCGCAACTAACTTGGGGGCACAATAATATTTATCACAAAAAAAAATATTGCAACAAAACATGTAAATGCCACCTGAAATACATCAACACTTGTGTATACGTCTTTCATACATTTTATAAAATTCCCTATATGCACCCCTTATCATTAAATACAGGAAATGTAATTGTAAAACTAATATCAGTAAACATCCTATATTGCATTTCAGAGGTATACTTGATGGTACTTGAAAGAACGGAATGTCCGCATATCGTGCATAGCTCATGTATAGGTATGGAAAGATGCAGACCCGTACCAGAAAGAACACTACTATCATTAATAACCCGGCTATAATGTATATAATATTGTCTTTAATCTTCAACTGAAATGAAAGTAAAGAAATTTAAAATAGTTAATTAAAAGAACTTAAAGTAGATAATTTTTGCAAATGACATTTTGTTTTTTAATCCAACCAAAAATTTTTAATCAGCTTCATATTTGTATCCTTAATTTGTGATCTTAAACTTATTTGATCTACTTAATGATTTTTTTTTCCTATAACCCGATTTCTCCATAAAAGAACCCCCGAAATATTTTGAATTGGTGCAGTACTCAATTAAAACATTAAAATATCATTTTTTTGTCCATTACTTTTGTTTGTATGCTAGCTAGCTACTTCTTAAAGCTGCTTGCCTCCAGATGAGCGAAAATATTTCAATAAAATCAAACCTGAGAAAAATATACTTAGATTTTAGGAAAAGTGTTCAGAATCAAAGTTCTAGTAATAATTTACATGTTATGTGCGATTAATGACCGATTTTTCAGTATTTATAACTATATTTCTACTGCATTACTAACGCAGTAAGGGACATTTTTGCATATTTTGTCCTCTTTTTAGTTTATTCACGTGGGTTTTAAGTGCCATTGATGTCGTATAAATTGCTTCCTTTTGGTTATTTCACTGAATAATACTTTTAAACACATTTCAAAATTTTCATGAAAATTAGCATGAATCTGGAGGCGTGCCGCTTTAACTTATAATATTGTAATTTCTTAAATTTCAAATTCAAGAAATTTCATTTAAATTACTGTACATTTTCACAATTTTTTATCTCAAACTAAAATGAATCTCTTCACCTGTTACAGAATTCATTTTACGCTAAAATAAAATCAACTCACCTGTGACAGAATGAATCTTACTGCTATAAAAGGAATTGCAGCTTCACATGTATACAGAACTCCAACAAAGTAGTCTCCCTTGTTATTACGGAAATACTGAAAGAATATGATCTACATTGTAAATAAATCCTTACAAAATGTTTCATGACAATTTTCAATATCTTATGAAAAAGATATTCAGGTTCTTCATATACAAGGGTCAAAACTTTTATTAAAATATTTTATGTAAAAAAAAAAGCAGTCGCATAATTTCTAGAAGGATCAAAAGGAGATTTACTGTTAACACAAACTTTTATTACTGCCAACATATGAACAAGAATGTAAACTTTTAAAGATATCAACCCAGATATGGTACATTTTGACTATATATCATATCTGTCAAGAAAATCAGGAATATGAAGACAAGCAAAGATTTCAATCATTGTTTCATAACATCACATAAATTTTTCCCAAAGAGAAATAAGCTTTACCCTGCAGAATGAGCAATGGCCATGCCGTGCTTTGGCTTTGGAACTAAGGGATTTCAAGACCAAATCACTAAAGCCTTGCTTTGAAAACAGTGCCTTGTAAACTAAGGGATTTCAAAATCAAAATGCTAAACATCTTACAGAGCAATGTAGAGTTTTATCAGAATTGGATAGATGTGCAGGATGGTCTGGCTCTAAATCAGTGACACAGGCACATGATTACTTTCACTACTAAGCTTGTTATACAATAAAGTGCACTTAGTTATTTAAAATGAAGTAAACGGTATCTGAAAATTAGATTAAACTAGGTAATTTTTTCATTTACTTGACAAAATTTTAAAAGCTGACATTGTCACTTACCAAAATACTTGGAAAGAAGATAAATGGAAGAATAACATGGTGTACAAGCATAGCTTTGTTGAATTTCACAAAGTGACTAATTCTTTCCTTATTGTTCATCTTTAACATAATATCTAGATTGAGGTAGAAGTGAGTGTTGTACATGGCCCAAATGTCATACAAAAAGTATGAAAGACCAAACCAGGCATAAGTGTTTGTCAGCCAGTGCCTGAAAGATAAAATACATACATGTAATTTACATTATTACAGTGCAACCTCTACAGAAAAGCCCTCTGAAGAGCAATAATCCCTTTAGAGTTGTCAATTCTTCCCAAATTAAATTTAAACCTTGAAGAGCTACACCCTTCAGCTTAAACCAAATAACTTTTTTCATTTCTCTGCCCTTAAATTCAAATGCAAATGGGTAATTTAACTTCAGCATCTATCAATGATGAAAAATCATGGATCTTCTGAGTGCTTTTTCCCCTTGCTTTCCCTGGACATGTAAAGGGACCTACAATCACATCCCTTTTAATCCCTGTGTAACTTTTAATTCACCCTGAAAATTTAAACTTTTAAAATTTAAATCAAGTTTTCTAGCACAACCACAAGCAGTATTATAGTAAAGTGCTATTTAGCCAATTATAAAATTTTAAATTGGTGCTAAAATAACTTTTAAAAGTAAGGTATTTTAATAAATTACTTACACATCAGTCATGATATTTTCTTGACATGACTTTGCAATAATGACTCCAACCACTGTTGCTAAAATAGCCTGAATTGCATTCACACACCTATATAAAACATAATTATCAAAATTTAATTAATTTAATACACAACTTTTACGTTTGTCCTGGATCTTAAACGCAAATTGATTTTAATCAAGATATAAATTGTAACTGGATAAAAATTATATACATTGTACATATTACCTTGACAATGTATACATTTAAGTTATGCATAAAATAGATCTATAAGAAAGGGCAAAATCACCAAAAAATTAATATTATTTTATTAAAACTGCAGGTTGTCGAATAAATTATATACTGATATATTATAGAAAGGTTTTCATTGTGGATTAACCATATTATTTTCTTCAAAAGTAGTACAACTGTGTCGGGTGTGCATTTTAGCACGATATTCACGAGCTCAGAAATTTTTTGGAGGTGTGATGGAAACTAAAATATTGTTTTGTGAATACTTACTTTTCAGTGATAAAATACTGGTCTGTGACTGAAAGTTTACTGTTAAATACATGCTTTAAACAGTTTCTAACCAGAGCATTTAAAGAAATGAAGAAAATTCCACCAGATATCAATGTAATTACACCCATTGTTTACATCGTCACCGGTTAAACACACATGATAAACTCCGTGATGGTGGTCCCTTATTCCGTAAAGTACTGAATCTTGAACTCGCTTCAGAGGATGATTTCTATAATTTTGTTTTGCAAAAGTAATTATTAACTACGATTTCTTCCATCCAAGATTGTTTGGATACTGAATGATGCTTAAAAGTGATCTGTATCCTAAATTTATCTGAATCGACCTACTTCACACAATTTTTAGAGGTACGGCACTTGACAGGATTTATTGTTTTATCCCGGATCTGAAAAGCCAATCAAAAGGTGTGTAACAAAGAATACGCTGAAAAAATGTAAATACAATTTTTTTAAGGAAAATTTCTTTTTTTGCATTTAACTAAATCATTCATTACAACTTTTACTGGTAAGTGTATGTACAAATTTACATTAGTTATAAAACTCTCCAATTTCAAGTTTATAATTGTCCACTTCTTTGTGATAAGCAAAGTCCATTTTTGTAATATAATTTCGCGATAAAATATTATTTTTTTTACTTTGTTTTTTGATGTGAACTTTTTTTAAATGTTCATATTATATAGACAATTAAGATCATTTAATAATTGTGAAGTAAATCTCGTCAGCCACTAGTAAAATACTTGTTTATCTGTTTCAAATGAATCGCCCAACTAGTACTAATAGCTTAAGGTCTTCAGTGTACCCTTTTTATATACTATGGCATGATGTGAATGCTGAAGGCAGATCCGTAGGGAAAGTCCACCAATAATCAACCCAGGAATCCAGTGGCAGATACAGACCCGGGCTTCAGGGCTGCAGCCCCCCCCCCCCTCCCAGCTTGGCCCAAAGATACGTTAACCGATTTCGAGACGTTTCGGCCCCAAGACGTATCGGCCCCAAATTACCCAAGACGTTTCGGCCCCAGACGTTTCGGCCCTTTACCAAATCGGCCCCAGAATAAGTACTGTGTTTTAAACCGGTATATTAAAATTTCATAGTTATAATAATCATAAATGACAATTTTCATAAGTGGAACACCAATTTCCAAGTACCTTGAAAGATTTACGATAACTCTTATATATTTTACGTAAAAGATTTAATCTTTACCAAAACCATACTTACATAAAGCTATAAATAGTTAATTAGTTACACCTTGAAAAAAATACGTAGGCCTATAGTTTAATTAAGATAAAAAAATAATGTTTTCATATGAATTAATTGTAATTAACTTTTTTAATCAAGAAGGTTTAGTGGTTTGTTTTACAAATTAAGGATTAAACTGCCTTTTATTGTTTGTTACACCTTTAAAACATTAACGTATATCTAAATGGTTCAAGAGATCAAAAGATAATAAATAATTATTTAAAGAATTAAAGTGTCATAATTGTTTAATTGTAATTAAATCAATTGTTGTGAATTAATTTAATTAATTGTCTGTACTATATAGTAGGGCCGAAACGTCTCGCGGAAAAGGGCCAAAACGTCCAGGGGCCGATTTTTCTACTGGGGCCGATTTGGTTTGGGGCCGAAACGTCCTGTTTGCCGTTAACCAGTTGGGCTGGGATATATTTTTGTCAGTTTCAAACTTTATTGGCTGTAGTGTACTCCCATATCAAAATATTTATTGCTGTCATCCAGTTGTTAATCTCCTGCCTGGGGGCTTGGCAGAGATGTTTATCTATCAACATGCTTGAATGACTTCAATGTTTAAACTGCATAATTGATTGGTTTATTACTTTCCAAAGGTCTAATGAAATAAATATCACAGATAGTGGCAAATAGATGTGTTGCATTGTACACTAATATTTAACTATCTTAGTATTTTCATTTTGTTTGCAAAAGCCCGATAATTAAGAAATTGAAAATTATTATTTGTAAATTAAAAACATGGCGTGTTTTATGAAGACAATAATTATTAAAGGAATGCATTTTAATAAATAGTTTTACTAAGATTTTTATCAAGATGAAATTTCTCAGTCTATAGGAGGGGACACCCCTCCCAGACCCACCCCAATTTCATGTATTTTTCTAATTCCATATTATCTAAATATTTAAAAAAAAAAAAAGCATTAGCATACACATATATAAAGCAAATATACATTGGCACTCATAAAGATGAGCTATAAAACACATCAATTACAATTTTTGTCACAGGAAATCATGTTCTGTAATCGCCCCTGGAATCTGACATGCTTATATTCATTCATCGAACAACGAACATACCATGAAGTAAAGCGAAACATACCTTGATAAAACTATGTATATTCTGTTGATAAGCCAAGGATGGAGACATAAAAAACTTATTATGAACATAAACTACCTAATAGTTTCCTACGGGCACTTGGCCTCCATATTGCCAAAATGTTTGACCACGTGATTAAGAGATTGACCTTAATGGGTTAATTTGCGCAGACGGTTAAGAAAACTGAACCAATCATGAATGTGCTTCCAACTTTTTTTATAAATCACTTTTTTTAAAGATATTGAAAATGGTGATTAACTGACTTTTGTATTTAATATAATTTCATTTAAGTACTCAGCGTTTTTTTTCTCTACTTTCTTTGGGTATGGTGCCAGTACCAGATCGATTGGGAAAATGCGTTACTTTGACTCAAATTGGGAAAATGCTAAAAGGCCTTGTGGTTTTTTTTATAGTATATAGGGGGTATTTTTTGCATATTATCGTTAATAGTGATAGAATTTCAAGTTCCTGTGCATAAACCCAGGCTGCAGCCTGCACCTTGTATGAACATGAAGGCATTTAGGTAATGTTAGCCAGCAAAATATGATTTTTGACTTATTTTAGCTCACCTGAGCTAGCTTAAGGTGAGCTTTTATGATCGTTGAATGTTTGTGGTCCATCCACATTTGTTCGTGAACACTAGCTAAAAGTAGAAAATCTTTTTAACACTCTAGTGACTACTGTTTTAATCCAAATATCCTGGAAATTGGTCTGACTCTGAAAGTTTGTTTTGATGATGATTTGTAGGTCAAGTTTGAATATGGGTCATCTTGGGTCAAAAACTAGGTCACACTGCCCAAATAAGGAAAAAATCTTGTTAACACTAATGGTCATATTTTTGATTCAATTGTCATCAAACTTGGTCAGGATACTTGTCTAGGTAATTGCTCGTATGAGTTCTAACACGAGTCTTTTTGGATGAAAAACTAGATCACAGGCACTAAAAGTAGAAAAATCTTGTGAACACTCTATTTGCTACTGTTTTGATCCAGATATCCTGGAAATTGGTCTGATTGTTTGTTTTGATGATTTCTAAGTCAAGTTCGTATATGGGTTACCTTTGGTCAAAAACTAGGTAACACGGTGTAAATATGGAAAAACCTTGTTAACTGTTCAGTGGTCATAATTTTGACTCAATTGTTATCAAACTTGGTCAGGATGCTTGTCTATTTAATTGCTTGGATGAGTTCGAACATGCATGGGTCATCTCTGGTGGAAAACAAGGTCTCAGGAGCTAAAAATAGAAAAATCTTGTTAACTTTCTAGTGGCTACTGTTGTTATCCAAAATATTCTGGAAATTGGTCCTCAAGTTTGTTTTGATGATTTCTAGGTCAAGTTGAAGTATGCGTCGCCTGGGATCAAAATCTAGGTCACACTGCCCAAACATGGAAAAACTATGTTAACACTCTAGTGGTCACATTTTTGTCTCAATTGTCATCAAACTTTGGTCAGGTGAGCAATCTAGGGCTGTCTTGGCCCTCTTGTTTACGTATTGAAAATTTCCGCTTGTCCCTTTTTTACAACCTTGGCAATGCAGACAATAGATTTTGTCAATCCTGCATAATGACAAAACCTTTCATAATGATGAAACTTTATTTTACCATTTTGTAACATTAAAGATTGCCAAATTTTCCTTATCTCCAGTTACTGTACATCAGGCTGCATGGTAAATAAGTCATGGTAAAATACTTGTGAGTTATAATGAATGTACATATTGATAGTACAATTACTTTCATAGTCTTCGTCATTGAATAACTTTGAACCCTATGTGCATTATTGGTCATTTTTAGTGAACTGGGCTTTAACTTGGTGGATACAAGTATCAGAATTAAGTATGGGTCGAACTAAAGGGTCAGGAGGTGGAGGAAGCAAGACCATGCCACCGGAGGGTCAGAGTCCTGCTTCATCTGAAGTGAGCACATCAAGTTCAGTGGCTTCTGCAGAGCTGAGAATCAAGGATAATCTGAAAGAACTATTTAACTTAATCCATCAAGTTCAGGTAAATTGTTGTATTAAATTAAAAAGATATAATGTACATTATCAACATATCTTTTTAAAATAAGAGAAGATAAGAAAAGTCGCTAATGCACATTAATTGTTGGATTTTTTTTTGTAGTTGTTTATTGTAAGACAATAAACTTACTTTATTGCATACATATAAAATAAATAATATGTATTGACTTGTAGACTGCTATATACACCTTAACATCCTGAATTCTAGCATAAAGTTTAAGTTAACTGAATTATTCTCATGAAATGAACACAGAAAATACCTGGTTGAAGAAATCCGATTAATTATACATGTGTCTCATTAACTAGGTATTCTGGTTACATGTAGGTCACTGCAACTGTGGATTCCATGAGGGTTGATGGTATTCTGGGTAGGTCACTGCGTCAAATTTATTTTAATGGGGGTGATTCTTGACATGTTGTGCAGGGTTTCAAGATAACTTTAAACTAACTTGTTTTTCTGATAGAATATTCTATAAATTCTATGTTATCTCTTAATACAGGAGGAGAGGACTAGGGGAGAAAACAACTTGACAAATATTGCCAAAACTCACGAGAGAATGCAGCAAGAACAAAAAAGTAAGTGGTGCTCTCATGAACTGGTTCCATACTTTATTATTAAGACAGAACATTTAACTCTAAGATTCAACATACTGTACAGTCTGAGACTTGTCATCAGATATTTTACAAGCATAGACAATTTTATATATGAGCTGCGTTATGACAAAACCAACATAATGGGTTTGCAACCATTATTGATCCAGACCAGCCTGCGCATCCGCGCAGTCTGATCAGGATCCATGCTGTTCGCTATCAGTTTCTTTATTGTTATAGGGTTTGTAAGTGAACAGCATGGATCCTGATCAGACTGCGCGAATGTCCAGGCTGGTCTAGATCCATGCTGGTCGCAAAACCTACTATGTTGGTTTTGTCATGGCACGGCTCATTTTATTATTAAGACAGAATATGTAACTCTAAGATTCAGCATACTTTACAGACTGAGACATGTCATCTGATATTTTACAACAATTTTATATATATATGAAACATATGTACATAAGGGCTTCCGTTAACAGGCGTACGGCCGTAAATTACGCCCGAAAATGTACTGTACATCATAAGGCCTTTTTTTCAACAATTTATTTCAACACATTGATAAGTTATTTCAGGGGTTTTCTTTTTGTATTAAAATATTTTTATATTGATGAATTTAATCTCATTTATGCAGACTGAAGATTGGGAATGTTTATGCTTTCCATTGTTAATAGTGGTACAGTGATACATGTATGTATCTTTCAGGGAAGAAGAGCCAAAAATGTACATGATGTAGCTCTTATTGTTTATAATACTTATATTTTTGTATCGAAGACTTGAAAAAGATATATTTAATGATTAATAAATATGTACCATAACTACCAAGTCAAACTAAACATGGCAACTTCTTATAAAAATTTATCAGAATTTCCATATAAAATGGTAGACACAGTAGGCTGACATTACACTATACAATATCGTTCCATATAATACTCAGAATAAATGTATATTTGCTAAAAGATAAAGGTTAGAAAATATACATTGAAATACATTGCAGTCTAACCATATTGTTTTGTTATTACAGTAACACCTTATTACAAGAACAAACTACGAGGATTGTATAATAATGCCATGCAAGATGCTGAAGGAGAGGCAGAGTAAGTCCTACAAGCAACTCAACCTATTTTCTTTAACAATTTTGATGCACAGAAAACAAAAATGTTGTGATTGTAAATCCTCTTATCACATTAACAGTTTCTCATATTTTTAGCTCGACTATTCGATAAGAATAAGAAGAGCTATTGTAGTCACCCGAGCGTCGGCGTAACCTCTTATGTTAAAGTTTTTGTAATAGTTCAAATATTTTCAAAGTCCATTGACATATGGCTTTGAAACTTTGCACACTTGTTCACCATTTTGACTCCAACCTGTAGACAGGAGGAGGTAACTGTATCAAGTATTTTGACAGAATTATGCCCCTTTTTTGACTTAGAATTTACGTTAAAGTTTTTGTAATAGTTCAAATATTTTCAAAGTCCATTGACATATGGCTTTGAAACTTTGCACACTTGTTCACCATCATGACCCCAACCTGTAGACAGGAGGAGGTAACTGTATCAAGCATTTTGACAGAATTATGCCCCTTTTTAGCTCGACTATTCGATAAGAATAAGTAGAGCTATTGCAGTCACCCGAGCGTCGGCGTCGGCGTAACCACTTATGTTAAAGTTTTTGTAATAGTTCAAATATTTTCAAAGTCCATTGACATATGGCTTTGAAACTTTGCACACTTGTTCACCATCATGACCCCAACCTGTAGACAGGAGGAGGTAACTCTATCAAGCATTTTGACAGAATTATGCCCCTTTTTAGCTCGACTATTCGATAAGAATAAGTAGAGCTATTGCAGTCACCCGAGCGTCGGCGTCGGCGTAACCACTTATGTTAAAGTTTTTGTAATAGTTCAAATATTTTCAAAGTCCATTGACATATGGCTTTGAAACTTTGCACACTTGTTCACCATCATGACCCCAACCTGTAGACAGGAGGAGGTAACTCTATCAAGCATTTTGACAGAATTATGCCCCTTTTTCGACTTAGAATTTACGTTAAAGTTTTTGTAATAGTTCAAATATTTTCAAAGTCCATTGACATATGGCTTTGAAACTTTGCACACTTGTTCACCATCATGACCCCAACCTGTAGACAGGAGGAGGTAACTCTATTAAGCATTTTGACAGAATTATGCCCCTTTTTCGACTAAGAATTTACGTTAAAGTTTTTGTAATAGTTTAAATATTTTCAAAGTCCATTGACATATGGCTTTGAAACTTTGCTCACTTGTTCAACATCATGACCCCAACCTGTTAACAGGAGGAGGTAACTCTATCAAGCATTTTGACAGAATTATGCCCCTTTTTCGACTTAGAATTTACGTTAAAGTTTTTGTAATAGTTCAAATATTTTCAAAGTCCATTGACATATGGCTTTGAAACTTTGCACACTTGTTCACCATCATGACCCCAACCTGTAGACAGGAAGAGGTAACTCTATTAAGCATTTTGACTGAATTATGCCCCTTTTTCGACTTAGAATTTACGTTAAAGTTTTTGTAATAGTTTAAATATTTTCAAAGTCCATTGACATATGGCTTTGAAACTTTGCACACTTGTTCAACATCATGACCCCAACCTGTAAACAGGTGGAGGTAACTCTATTAAGCATTTTGACAGAATTATGCCCCTTTTTCGACTTAGAATTTACGTTAAAGTTTTTGTAATAGTTCAAATATTTTCAAAGTCCATTGACATATGGCTTTGAAACTTTGCACACTTGTTCACCCTCATGACCCCAACCTGTAGACAGGAGGAGGTAACTGTATCAGCCATTTTTTTTACTATCAAGCACAAGAATAGTCGAGCGTTGCTGTCCTACCGACAGCTCTTGTTCGACTTAGAATTTACGTTAAAGTTTTTGTAATAGTTCAAATATTTTCAAAGTCCATTGACATATGGCTTTGAAACTTTGCACACTTGTTCACGATCATGACCCAACCTGTAGACAAGAGGAGGTAACTCTATCAAGCATTTTGACAGAATTATGCCCCTTTTTTGACTTAGAATTTACGTTAAAGTTTTTGTAATAGTTCAAATATTTTCAAAGTCCATTGACATATGGCTTTGAAACTTTGCACACTTGTTCACCATCATGACCCCAACCTGTAGACAAGAGGAGGTAACTCTATCAAGCATTTTGACAGAATTATGCCCCTTTTTCGACTTAGAATTTACGTTAAAGTTTTTGTAATAGTTCAAATATTTTCAAAGTCCATTGACATATGGCTTTGAAACTTTGCACACTTGTTCAACATCATGACCCCAACCTGTAAACAGGAGGAGGTAACTCTATCAAGCATTTTGACAGAATTTTGCCCCTTTTTCGACTTAGAATTTACGTTAAAGTTTTTGTAATAGTTCAAATATTTTCAAAGTCCATTGACATATGGCTTTGAAACTTTGCACACTTGTTCACCATCATGACCCCAACCTGTAGACAAGAGGAGGTAACTCTATCAAGCATTTTGACAGAATTATGCCCCTTTTTCGACTTAGAATTTACGTTAAAGTTTTTGTAATAGTTCAAATATTTTCAAAGTCCATTGACATATGGCTTTGAAACTTTGCACACTTGTTTAACATCATGACCCCAACCTGTAAACAGGAGGAGGTAACTCTATCAAGCATTTTGACAGAATTATGCCCCTTTTTCGACTTAGAATTTACGTTAAAGTTTTTGTAATAGTTCAAATATTTTCAAAGTCCATTGACATATGGCTTTGAAACTTTGCACACTTGTTCACCATCATGAGCCCAACCTGTAAACAGGAGGAGGTAACTGTATCAAGAATTTTTTTTACTATCAAGCACTAAGAATAGTCAAGCGTTGCTGTCCTACCGACAGCTCTTGTTTGACTTAGAATTTACGTTAAAGTTTTTGTAATAGTTCAAATATTTTCAAAGTCCATTGACATATGGCTTTGAAACTTTGCACACTTGTTTACCATCATGACCCCAACCTGTAAACAGGAGGAGGTAACTGTATCAAGCATTTTGACAGAATTATGCCCCTTTTTTGACTTAGAATTTACGTAAAAGTTTTTGTAATAGTTCAAATATTTTCAAAGTCCATTGACATATGGCTTTGAAACTTTGCACACTTGTTCAACATCATGACCCCAACCTGTAAACAGGAGGAGGTAACTCTATCAAGCATTTTGACAGAATTTTGCCCCTTTTTCGACTTAGAATTTACGTTAAAGTTTTTGTAATAGTTCAAATATTTTCAAAGTCCATTGAATATGGCTTTGAAACTTTGCACACTTGTTCACATCATGACCCAACCTGTAGACAGAGGAGGTAACTCTATCAAGCATTTTGACAGAATTATGCCCCTTTTTTCGACTTAGAATTTACGTTAAGTTTTTGTAATAGTTCAAATATTTTCAAAGTCCATTGACATATGGCTTTGAAACTTTGCACACTTGTTAACATCATGACCCCAACCTGTAAACAGGAGGAGGGTAACTCTATCAAGCATTTTGACAGAATTATGCCCCTTTTTCGACTTAGAATTTACGTTAAAGTTTTTGTAATAGTTCAAATATTTTCAAAGTCCATTGACATATGGCTTTGAAACTTTGCACACTTGTTCACCATCATGAGCCCAACCTGTAAACAGGAGGAGGTAACTGTATCAAGAATTTTTTTTACTATCAAGCACTAAGAATAGTCAAGCGTTGCTGTCCTACCGACAGCTCTTTTTTGACTTAGAATTTACGTTAAAGTTTTTGTAATAGTTCAAATATTTTCAAAGTCCATTGACATATGGCTTTGAAACTTTGCACACTTGTTTACCATCATGACCCCAACCTGTAAACAGGAGGAGGTAACTGTATCAAGCATTTTGACAGAATTATGCCCCTTTTTTGACTTAGAATTTACGTAAAAGTTTTTGTAATAGTTCAAATATTTTCAAAGTCCATTGACATATGGCTTTGAAACTTTGCACACTTGTTCACCATCATGACCCCCAACCTGTAAACAGGAGGAGGTGACTGTATCAAGCATTTATTTACTATCAAGCACTAAGAATAGTCGAGCGTTGCTGTCCTACGCGACAGCTCTTGTATTATTTATTGACTGATATTTCAAATATTTTGTGTGTTCGTACCTTTCTTTGACCTCTTTTTGGGATGAATATTTTTGAAAAACTTAAGAGTTTCCTCATATTATAGCTATGTTTATGGTTTTGTCCTATACAATAAATACACCGCAGTTATATCAAATATTTCTGTTGCAACATTTTACTCGGGTATTAAATGTTAAATGATAATAATTGCCTTTTTAAGAATTTATAGGAATTTACATAGAAGAAAGTCACTAAGGATGTTGTGTAAATGCAATTAATATTTTTGTTGTAATTTGGGAAAAAATTAGACATGTTTCATGTTTTTTTCCTCTTTATTGAACATCATTTGAATTTACATTAAAATTTATAAAGTTGATATTATGTTGGATAACAAAAAAAACCTCTAGGAGCTTTAAATGATTCAATACAATAACTTTATTCTCTTTTCAGGTTGCTTCGAAAAGCTCTTGATAAAATAACTGAAATAAAGGCCCATAAGAGAACATCTTGTAGATTCGGTAGTAGGGTTTTTTCCGGTTATTTCTTTTCTGAAAACCAACCATTGCTAGTGATAAAGTCAATGAAACTGGAGCTCTTTTAATAAATTTTCTGTCTTGTTCTGAAAAAAATACACCAGATGCCCATTTATGTGTTTGATAGAACCACAGCAATCTGGCTGTCTGTGCTTTTGTTGCCATTATATTGACTCTTAATACTGGTGTAGGAGTTAAAGTCAGGATTTGAACCTACATGCATAATGATTACAGTTAAGTGATTCAAAATGAAATTTCAGGAACACTTTATTAGATAAACTGCAGCAATATTTGAATAAAATTTATAACAAATTGGTATCACATACCTACTCAGATACAGACAATCAATCATGTTTTTTCATTCACAGATTCAGATCGTCCGAAGCCAATTATGAGGAGAGGTGTTTTAATGAGTTTATTACAACAGAATGCTGTCACACTACCACTGTGGGTCAGCAAACCTGGAGAAAAGTAATTTTCCTTACAACTTAATATATTTTTTTTTACTTGCTTGTGAAATATAAATTTTTCGATGATTATATTTATTTTATACATATATTTTTCTTTGAACTTTCGTAAATAGAAAATATATGCAGGGTCATTCACAGCTTTAAATTTAGATAATTCAAAACACTAAAAAAAACCGCTATTTTTAGCTGATGTTGGTCTACGTCAAATTACACAATTAAGAAATCTGACTCCTGATCAAGTGAAATATACATGTCAGACTTTAATAGATTTTTGGGCGACTAGAATTAGTTTTTTCTGATCAAAAGATGGTGAAGTGTAAATATTTTGTGCGAAGTTTTCACCCAACTTCACAATCCCTGTTATGTGATTTATTGAACTTAAACTTCTAGACATTTTTCTCTTAATTAATTGAAACAATATTCAAATTCAAATCATCAAGTGCACTTTTTTATGCATTTATATAATACTGATATGACAGGGTTTATGGTCTGTCTTATATATGAAAAATTATTAGGAAACTTCAATATTTATTACTGAAAACAAAGCCCACTTACATGGGTTATTTGTTCTGTTTGAGTACTGTCTTAATATAGATGTCTTTCTAGAATAGTGTTATTAAAAGTAAAATATAATAAAAACAACAAGTACATTGTGGTTGTCATGCAATATTATGAGAATGGCTTTTTCTCTACATGATTTAAGTATGTCTTGGATATATGTCAGAATTTCATTGTATTATGCTCATTTAACGTAAAAAAAAATGTTTTCCCCATATTTCAGAACACCACCTCTCTGTGGGGCCGTAAGCCGCAGATAATAACTATGTCGCCAAGCCCTACGGACAAGGTGGCGGCAAGGGTGAAATCCTCGGATGGAGAAGAGAACTTGGATTTTAGCTGAG